CCAATTATGCACTAGATATTGAACGAGGTATATTGATCGATTATTGCACGATATATTGACTTATGTATTGACAGTATGAAGGATGCTATCTACATTGCATGCTGGGATGTCTGTACACAGACATCCTGCTTCCAGTAATATATTACAGAAAGCAACATTCCCCAATATAGTGGTCTATTATTGCTAATATATTGACTTGATATGAATAAATACTTTGTGAATTTGTGAAGTATATGTTTTACATATATATAGTACAGTGGCTGCAAAACAAAAAGGTGAGTAATCCGAGCGTCGATATATCGAGTAACATATTGGGCTAGCTAGCTATATCGGGTAGTATATTGGACTAGCTAGCTATATCTAGTAATGTATCGTGTTAGCTAGCTATATCGCCTGATAGTAAATAACCCAATTCGAATTCTAGCTAGGTATATCGGGTAGTATATTGAGTTAGCTAGCTAGATCGCCCGATAGTCGATATTTTTTTTCTCCTTGGGTATATAAAGGATGCTTGAAAATAAAATCATTTCTCCTCAGTAATATGGTACGTAACTATGGTTCATATACCATTTTATTCAGTTTTTCGTTGGCTATTTTTCTATATCAAATACAAGTTGGATCTTCGTTTGCATATCGAGAAAAAAGTACTTAAAACATCTCTGATATTGCCTTTTACGTTAGTTTGTCTCTTGTAAAAATAATTTTTTCCTATTGAAATGATGTATTAGGATTGTTCATAGAGTATTTTATTCAGCTTTTCACTGTCTGTTTTTTCACATCAAGGTTTGTGTGAAACCTATGCTGGATTTTTCAAAAATATTATTTTTTCTAAGAACGATGTCCTCTGATGGAATCTCAAAATAATCAACGTTACAAACGTATTTTGAGCTTATTTTCCATAAGAATACCTGAAAAGTGTGTACAAATGTCTTTTCTACAAAAGTCAAGTCAAAATGAGCAAAAACACGCGGGGCCGTTTTCTGATCAAGTGCGCACCCTCCCCTTCCTTTGTTTAAGAAAAGATTACTGTCAAAGCTATACGTCTTTGTTAATGATACTTGTGCAACTGCTTACTGTGATAATGTACAGCGTGTTTTATTCCATTTAGTGTGATAAAATGTGAACAAACATTCATCGATGTATGAGAAAACTACTTGATTTCTGTGAAGTCACTTGAACTGAAGCTTTCAAATCGATTCAAAGGCTTACTACGCTTCAATCACTAGAGTTCTTCAATTATTCAAAAAAGATAATTTTGATGACGCAATTGAAAAAGAAAAAAAATCGAATGATGACTATTCTACCTTTAAATTAAACTTGAACATTTACCTAAAGAAAATGAGTCACTCATGTAATAAATGATATTGAAAAGAAACATAAGAATTTTTACAAATTATAAAACTACTTTATTCAGATATAATTTAATAAAATTAGAATTTGAGTCTGTTTCTCTTCAATTGTTTTTTAAAACTACTATCTATTGTTAGCACTGTCTTTTTCAGTTTTTAAAAATGATTGTACAGTTTTCATTTTTCTTTGAATAGTTGCCATTTTCTCTAGCTTTTTGTCTAATTTAATTTTTTGATATAATGTCATTGCTATTGTCAAATTTTGATAAGCTAATTTATATTCATGTAATTTTATATAAATATTAGATAATTCAATATAACTTTCAGCTATTTCTTCATTCTTCCAATCAATTTCAGTCTCATTATCTGTTAGTTTTTGTACATTTTCTTTCAATGTATATTCGTGTTTTATTAATTTATATTTAAGTGCCGAATTATAGTCATTCTTATATTTAATATAAATTTCAACTATAAAATCACATATTCCAATATATGATTCTGGATCAGATTTATCTTGAATAACAATCTCCAAAGCTTTTTCATAGTTAATTAAAGCATCATCATATTTAAATATCGATTTATAAAGATCAGCTAGATGTATCATACATCTTCCAATTTCAATATCATTAGATAAATAATATTTTAACATATTTTGAACAGTTAGTTCTCTGTATTTTATAGCCATTAAATTATTTTGTATTCTTTCGTTCTCATCATTACTAATTTCCATTCTATATTTGTACACAAAACTTATCTGACTCTGTATATTTATTTGTTCATAATCTGTAGCTACTTTTTCAATTGCTGATTGATAATAACTGATAGCTAAATCATAATGTTTATTAGCCCTATTTTTATCTTGTATATCTACATAGTACTGGTAAATTTGACCAATAAGTTTGTGAAGTTGACCAATATCAAAAGAACAATTTAATTCATTATCATTTATATATTCAAGCCAAATGTTTAATGCTTGATCATAATTTGATAATGCTGCAATATAATTCAATTCACTATCATTCAATTCAGTATAATTTAATTCTGTTCGCTGATGACGGAGACCGAGACTATGAAATTTTGTGGCTAAAATCCATTTTTCTGATGAAAATAAATCAATTAGTTCATTAAATATTGTGTCTATGTCCTCAGGTGAAGCTTCATCGAGATTATAAGACAGTGCAGTGATACAGTTTTTCAAAATTCTTCTCTCAGTCATACCATGAAAATCTTTATCATGTTTTATATGATTGTCATAGTCTAATTTTTGTTTAATTATCCAAATCTTTTCATTCTTATCGTATGATATATCACCTCTTTCTTTCATAAATTGTGTTCCAGTCATGAATAAAAATTCAGATTTATTTCCAAAATAACTTAAATGTGAAATATCAGCAAATGGACGAGATCGTTGACAAACATCGATTACAATTTCAAATAAAACTCGTTCTAGTTCCTTCGAAGTTGTTGATGATTGAAGAAACGACAATGATACAGAACGATCTAGAGATGTTGAAAAGAAACTACTGTTTACAATGAAATAATAATCATCTTCTTCAAGTTTTTCGATTTCAATAAGTGCCATAACTTGTCCACGATAAAGTTTAACTGTCGAATTTTTTAAATGTGTTAATTTGAATGTTTCATGTTCGTCTTTGAGTTGTCTATATAAGTCTTGTATAAAAAATCCAAATAGATACATAACTTCAATATTATGTTGTCTTAGTGCACGATTTAGAAGATGATATAAAAATGTTGGACGTGTATACCACCAAACAGCTTTGTCCGGTTTATACGTTGTTTCAAATTCTTGTAAAACTTGAAGCTCTTCTTCTTTATCTTTGTAATAAGTTTTTAATGAATTAATAAGTCTATTGCGATAATCTTCTGGATATGGTAAATAACATAAAAGATCAATGAAAGGTATCCACCAAGACGTAAGATCATCTGTCATTTTATCTTGTCTTCCAAATTCACTAAAGATTCCATCATTTTCGTGTTTTAAATATTCCTGAACATCTTTGTTTAGATCATTTAATAATTGATCAAGTTCTGTGTGGACTTGTTTGATCTATTTGAAAATCACAAAGGAAAAGAAATATTTTGACGTTTACGATCAGACAACGAGTTTTATAGCTGGGTATAACTTTTAAAGCTGTTTTCATGAGTTATGCTGTTCTAAATCCCATAAGAACTAATTGTGCGAAATTTGCTTTGATAGTTCCTCTAGATGTTTAGATTCAAAAAAGAAATGTCGGCGTTTTATTATACCTAGAAATTTTAGTCAGTAAAAACAACAATAGGTGGCAGCATGAAAATTTTCAAAACTTTCAGTAGCAGAAACGTGATTTTCGTACGTTTTGTTTTGGTCGGTTGCATGACCAGTCGGCTAACATCTCTAGTTACGCTTTAAGTCATGTTTCTGCACCTTCCTCTTATCATGGACTAGTTTTTATAAATGTTGCTCAGCTGGTACTTTCGGCAAGTCTTTGTCAGATTTAAACAGAAAAGGCTCGAACAATCGTGTTTGTTTGCTATAGGGTAAAACTAAAACATTTTAAATAAGAGACGGTAGTAATATGCACTCGTTTGTAAATTGATTAAGATTTTGGTTTCGTACGCAGTCACCGTGTGGGAAGGTATTGAGATGCAAAGTCTGCACGTAGACTGTACGTGAGTCTGTCCTACCGATACACCATCATTTCCGCAAACGACATGAACGCTGAACGAAATCATGTGGTACATAGTCATTATGTGATACAGTTACAGATATCCAGTTTCACACATGAAAATATTTTGTGTGAAACTACTTTTTGGACTCACTCCCACACTGCCCACCCACTCGCCTCCAACGATACACTGTCAAAAATACCCAAATGTGTACTATGAAAAATTCATGGAAGAGTCGGGGTTCTGTTCGCAGAAATGTCGAATCACGATCCTATCAGGCGGCGCTCTCCTTTTCCAAGAAAAAGTAGGCAATTCAACCGACAGTAGCTCTAAAAACTGATAGGTAGGGTAGCGGAAAAATCGTGCAGTGCTAATATCAGGCGTGAAAAATTGTAGCCCTATAGTCGGTAGCTCAAACGTCGATTAATCAACTAAAACACATATGTAAAAACAAAAACTTTTTAAATTCGAAAGCAATTAAAATGATTCTCTTGTTGCGAAATCGATAAGCTGATAAGTTGATATAATACATGTACAACTGGTCTTGGTAACATTTTAATTTTTGTCTATCTACACCTTTTTTAGCTTTTTGACTGCATAGAAAATTTTGAGATATTCGGGCTGATGTCGTATAAAATTAAATAGTGATAGGCTGACAGTTAGAAGACAATATTCTCTGACCGTAGTAATTAATTAATTTGTTATCAAAACGAAACGTTGAAAAATATATTATCGACCTCAAGATTTAGATCGTAAAACAACTATCAACTGTGTGCATTATAAAGAGGTCCTTATTCGATATCGAATTTCACACGGATTAATGGCAATTGTCAAAGGGTATTTAGACTGTAAAATTTTACATCTTAAATTTGCTTTGTAACTTATAACAATATCTTACTTAACAGAACTACGGCTAAAGTGTCAAAGTATAAAAATAAGGCTCAGGAATCACACTTACCTTTGAATAATGTGAAGCCCATGGTTGATGATATTCTGTGTTATGACAGTAAACATAGATTATCCAAATATTTTTAAGGTGATGTATTTGTGGAATCAAAATCTGTCCAAGTTGTTCGGATATGACTAAAAATGTGGTTGTATCTTTTGTTTGTACAATGTACTGTTGACATTCTTCAACATTATCAAACAGTTTTGTATAATCAATAATTTTTCGTAGATCTTCAATGGTAATTGAACTTTCACTTTCATTGCTATTGTTGACATTTGGATCTAACCATACTAACTGATGTGATTCAAGATTTACTCGTTCACGATTAAAGACTGTCGGACGTGTAGCTGTTGTATCAGCAGTAGTACTAGTTGAGGCTGATGCAGATGTAGCTGCGGGTGAATGCTGACGATTTTTTGAAGTAGACATACTATTGCTGTTTGTTGCAATTGCATTGTTACTATGCTTGCAACCCATTTCTATTCAACTACTCAGCACTAAAAGAAATATATTTGAAATATGCCACATTGTCTTGGCGAGTGAAAGAGCCTTTGCTCCTAACGTAGATACCTTTTTTGCGAGAGCTGGGCAACTCAGTTTAAAAATGTAAAACTCCTAGTCAAATATCACTATGTATGAAACTTGAACCCTAAAACCTCTAACCATTAGCAGCTGATGTATAGTCGAGAAAAGCCTGCATGTCCTCTCAGAGAATCAAAATTGTGTTTTATGTTTATTGCCATTTTTTACTTAAACTTAAAAAACACACTATTCCACAAAATAAGCTATGTTCGCTCTAAAGATGGTGTCATTCAGTAACAATTCGATTATTCCTAAAAATCAGGTAAACTCATTTTCTACAAGCCTAAAACTTTAAAAATATATCATTTCAGCGTCTGGGTCTCTAGAGGATCGAATTTAGACTCATAAATCACAGTCTCATCGATGATTTACGAAAACATAGGCTTCAATCCAAAAAATTATAAAATCAGCTAAAGGACTTTGGTTTGTAACATGACACTTACAAAAGATTTTTTCTAAGTGGTTGAAATGAAACGTCTCCCTGAACCGATCAATACAGTACTTGTCAAAAGTACCGACCCCCCCTGTAACTCAAGAACCATGATAGCTAGAGACTTCTAATTTTGTGTGGGCATAGCGCTTATCGAATGCTGATCACCCACCAAGTTTGGACCACTTTTACTAGATAGTTCGTGAGATATAAGCGATTTATCTCTTTTTCGTACAATATCAATAGCTCCTGACCTAAGAGAGATGAAAACGTTTTCTTTTTACTAAAATGTAGCCACGACTCTACTCTATCTGCAGCATAATATTTTGTAAGTTCGTGTTAGTAATCAGCGAAATACAGCT